GTGTCTGTGGGAGGTGAAGTTCCATGTTGTGTGTTCAGTGTCAGTGTGTGTGTCTGTGGGAGGTGAAGCTCCATGTTGTGTGTTCAGTGTCAGTGTGTGTGTCTGTGGGAGGTGAAGCTCCATGTTGTGTGTTCAGTGTCAGTGTGTGTGTCTGTGGGAGGTGAAGTTCCATGTTGTGTGTTCAGAGTCAGTGTGTGTGTCTGTGGGAGGTGAAGTTCCATGTTGTGTGTTCAGTGTCAGTGTGTGTGTCTGTGGGAGGTGAAGTTCCATGTTGTGTGTTCAGAGTCAGTGTGTGTGTCTGTGGGAGGTGAAGTTCCATGTTGTGTGTTCAGTGTCAGTGTGTGTGTCTGTGGGAGGTGAAGCTCCATGTTGTGTGTTCAGTGTCAGTGTGTGTGTCTGTGGGAGGTGAAGCTCCATGTTGTGTGTTCAGTGTCAGTGTGTGTGTCTGTGGGAGGTGAAGTTCCATGTTGTGTGTTCAGTGTCAGTGTGTGTGTCTGTGGGAGGTGAAGTTCCATGTTGTGTGTTCAGAGTCAGTGTGTGTGTCTGTGGGAGGTGAAGTTCCATGCTGTGTACAGAGTCAGTGTGTGTGTCTGTGGGAGGTGAAGTTCCATGTTGTGTGTTCAGAGTCAGTGTGTGTGTCTGTGGGAGGTGAAGTTCCATGTTGTGTGTTCAGAGTCAGTGTGTGTGTCTGTGGGAGGTGAAGTTCCATGTTGTGTGTTCAGAGTCAGTGTGTGTGTCTTTGGGAGGTAAAGTTCCATGTTGTGTGTTCAAAGTCAGTGTGTGTGTCTGTGGGAGGTGAAGTTCCATGTTGTGTGTTCAGAGTCAGTGTGTGTGTCTTTGGGAGGTAAAGTTCCATGTTGTGTGTTCAGAGTCAGTGTGTGTGTCTTTGGGGGGTAAAGTTCCATGTTGTGTGTTCAGAGTCAGTGTGTGTGTCTGTGGGAGGTGAAGTTCCATGTTGTGTGTTCAGAGTCAGTGTGTGTGTCTGTGGGAGGTGAAGCTCCATGTTGTGTGTTCAGTGTCAGTGTGTGTGTCTGTGGGAGGTGAAGCTCCATGTTGTGTGTTCAGAGTCAGTGTGTGTGTCTGTGGGAGGTGAAGTTCCATGTTGTGTGTTCAGAGTCAGTGTGTGTGTCTTTGGGAGGTAAAGTTCCATGTTGTGTGTTCAGAGTCAGTGTGTGTGTCTTTGGGGGGTAAAGTTCCATGTTGTGTGTTCAGAGTCAGTGTGTGTGTCTGTGGGAGGTGAAGTTCCATGTTGTGTGTTCAGAGTCAGTGTGTGTGTCTTTGGGAGGTAAAGTTCCATGTTGTGTGTTCAGAGTCAGTGTGTGTGTCTGTGGGAGGTGAAGTTCCATGTTGTGTGTTCAGAGTCAGTGTGTGTGTCTTTGGGAGGTAAAGTTCCATGTTGTGTGTTCAGAGTCAGTGTGTGTGTCTGTGGGAGGTGAAGTTCCATGTTGTGTGTTCAGAGTCAGTGTGTGTGTCTTTGGGAGGTAAAGTTCCATGTTGTGTGTTCAGAGTCAGTGTGTGTGTCTTTGGGGGGTAAAGTTCCATGTTGTGTGTTCATAGTCAGTGTGTGTGTCTGTGGGAGGTGAAGTTCCATGTTGTGTGTTCAGAGTCAGTGTGTGTGTCTGTGGGAGGTGAAGCTCCATGTTGTGTGTTCAGTGTCAGTGTGTGTGTCTGTGGGAGGTGAAGCTCCATGTTGTGTGTTCAGAGTCAGTGTGTGTGTCTGTGGGAGGTGAAGTTCCATGTTGTGTGTTCAGAGTCAGTGTGTGTGTCTTTGGGGGGTAAAGTTCCATGTTGTGTGTTCAGAGTCAGTGTGTGTGTCTGTGGGAGGTGAAGTTCCATGTTGTGTGTTCAGAGTCAGTGTGTGTGTCTTTGGGAGGTAAAGTTCCATGTTGTGTGTTCAGAGTCAGTGTGTGTGTCTTTGGGGGGTAAAGTTCCATGTTGTGTGTTCAGAGTCAGTGTGTGTGTCTGTGGGAGGTGAAGTTCCATGTTGTGTGTTCAGAGTCAGTGTGTGTGTCTTTGGGAGGTAAAGTTCCATGTTGTGTGTTCAGAGTCAGTGTGTGTGTCTGTGGGAGGTGAAGCTCCATGGTGTGTGTTCAGTGTCAGTGTGTGTGTCTGTGGGAGGTGAAGTTCCATGTTGTGTGTTCAGAGTCAGTGTGTGTGTCTGTGGGAGGTGAAGTTCCATGTTGTGTGTTCAGAGTCAGTGTGTGTGTCTGTGGGAGGTGAAGTTCCATGTTGTGTGTTCAGAGTCAGTGTGTGTGTCTGTGGGAGGTGAAGTTCCATGTTGTGTGTTCAGAGTCAGTGTGTGTGTCTGTGGGAGGTGAAGTTCCATGTTGTGTGTTCAGAGTCAGTGTGTGTGTCTTTGGGAGGTAAAGTTCCATGTTGTGTGTTCAGAGTCAGTGTGTGTGTCTGTGGGAGGTGAAGTTCCATGTTGTGTGTTCAGAGTCAGTGTGTGTGTCTTTGGGAGGTAAAGTTCCATGTTGTGTGTTCAGAGTCAGTGTGTGTGTCTTTGGGGGGTAAAGTTCCATGTTGTGTGTTCAGAGTCAGTGTGTGTGTCTGTGGGAGGTGAAGTTCCATGTTGTGTGTTCAGAGTCAGTGTGTGTGTCTTTGGGAGGTAAAGTTCCATGTTGTGTGTCCAGAGTCAGTGTGTGTGTCTGTGGGAGGGGAAGTTCCATGTTTGTGTGTTCAGAGTCAGTGTGTGTGTCTTTGGGAGGTAAAGTTCCATGTTGTGTGTTCAGAGTCAGTGTGTGTGTCTGTGGGAGGTGAAGTTCCATGTTGTGTGTTCAGAGTCAGTGTGTGTCTTTGGGGGGTAAAGTTCCATGTTGTGTGTTCAGAGTCAGTGTGTGTGTCTGTGGGAGGTGAAGCTCCATGTTGTGTGTTCAGTGTCAGTGTGTGTGTCTGTGGGAGGTGAAGTTCCATGTTGTGTGTTCAGAGTCAGTGTGTGTGTCTGTGGGAGGTGAAGTTCCATGTTGTGTGTTCAGAGTCAGTGTGTGTGTCTGTGGGAGGTGAAGTTCCATGTTGTGTGTTCAGAGTCAGTGTGTGTGTCTGTGGGAGGTGAAGTTCCATGTTGTGTGTTCAGAGTCAGTGTGTGTGTCTTTGGGAGGTAAAGTTCCATGTTGTGTGTTCAGAGTCAGTGTGTGTGTCTGTGGGAGGTGAAGTTCCATGTTGTGTGTTCAGAGTCAGTGTGTGTGTCTTTGGGAGGTAAAGTTCCATGTTGTGTGTTCAGAGTCAGTGTGTGTGTCTTTGGGGGGTAAAGTTCCATGTTGTGTGTTCAGAGTCAGT